CACTTGCTGCGCTGTGAGGCGACTCCCTGAGGGTATTTCTGCTCCTGCTGCTTCACCTGTTGTACAATTTCCCTGATCTTGCGCTGTGCAGTCTGCAGCAAGGGAGAGGAGGCGACAAGGGAAGAAAGGAACCCAGTTCTGAGGATGCACAGGAGGGGTAGGGTCTGGGACTTGGGGAAGGGTGGGATGTTCACGTGTCACCTCCCCTGGATCCCTTATTCCAGGGCTTTTTCTCCCTAGAAATAAGTGGCAGAGGTCCCCTCCTTTTCCACTCCAGGTTGCTGGATGAAAGATAACCAGGTAGAGCCCCAAGAGCTTCCCATTCATGACCAGAGGCCAGGACACAGCAACAGGCAGCCAATGATAGGGTCTTGCAGAGGCCAGACAGCATCTGGATCCTACTCTATACACCTGAGCCGCACTCAGGACCATCTACCTTTCCCAGATACTACCCTGAAAAGCTGGAGCACTAAGCATGAGCCCCAGCCTGACCCTCAACCAAGGGAGATGCCTGAAGAATGCACTGCAGCAGCCTGGCTGTTCAGATGTGTCCTGGGGTGCTGAGGGCCCAGGTGGGTATGGCCAGGGCTCTGATTCCAGGAGACCCAGGCAGAAATCTGAGTGCACCAGGCAGGCCGCAGGGAGCACAGACTGCTCGTCTTTGCTGGCTTAGGATAAGAACAGGGACTACTCTCTCCCAAAACCAAACCAGCAAAGGCATCCAAGAGAACTAGGCTACATTTTGCTGCAGTGCTGGCCTCTCCATATGAAAGGGAAGCAGCTATGTGGAGAGCATGCAGTGATGAGGTGAGGAAGGAGAGAGCAAAACAGATCCAAGAGCCTAGCATGGTAAGCATTTAACCTTTCGCAGTGAGACTCTAGCACCTGGGTCTGGAGGGGGTTGCCTGGTATGCACCTCCTTGCAGACCAAGGCTGTGACTGAGGCCTGGGTGGGGAGGTGAGGTTGCCGAGACCTCGAACCTGAGCCTCTTGGACTGGCCTCAACAGTTTCTACTTTCCTCAGGCTCTCCTAGCATCCCTGGGGGACAGCAGCAGTAAGAAGGTATAGGCGCTGCCCCTGCCCCGCCCTGTAGGCATGGCAGTCCCTGAAGAGCCAGGAGAAACAGGAAGAGGTTCGTGTGTGTGTGTGTGTGTGTGTGTGTGTGTGTGTGTGTGTGTCTGGGAGTGCTAGTGGGGGGTATCCCAACCACCTGACAGACCACTACTTAGGCAGAAAAAAGGAAAGAGACTGGGCCCTCGCAGCACAGGTACCTGGCTAGCAAAGAAATGCCCGATAATTCTGACGATCACTTCCTGGTTTTCATCTGGTGTTTGGTCTCGAGGCACAATGACTTCTGCACTGGTTAAGTTCTGCAGTTCATTCACCTGCGGAGGGAGAAGAGGCAGTGGGCTAGGCGGCTTCCATCTCCCATCAAGGCCAACACTGAGGCCAGGAGGGAAAGGGAAGGGGCAGAGCAAGGAGGAGACACCTCTCCTTTCCTTCAGTCTCGGATACTCAGCTTCCCTGCCTGGCCACCAGAGGTCTGTGGATTTGGGCCCTGTGAGGCTCAGTGACAGGGAGAGGGAGTCTAACCCTCATGCCATGGACTGCGTCTGGGGCTGAGTTCTCCGTTTCTGGAATTTACATCAATACAGCTCTGCACACACAGAGACCCTGGCTAACCAGTTCACCAAGTAAGAAGGCCACCCTTCCTGGAATGCCCTCCCTGGGTGCCCACCAAGCAGTGACCCCTCCTCTTGTCTGACTCACTGCGGTCAACTCTTCCTTCTAATCAGCTCCCACTCTGCACCCTGCTTTCCATTTTCACTCCAGCTATTAAGTCTTGCTTTTGCTGTTCCTGGCCTTGGGCTCCTATTCTCTCTCCTTGCCAATGGTGACATTCCTATCTCAACCCATCTCCTGCATTCTGTGGCTGCTCCTTGTGCCTCCCTGCTGCTGCTTTCCAAAGACACTGGTCACTTCCTGAGGGCTCATTCTCCCTCCTCTGGCCTCTAGCATGATTCTGAACTCAGGCAGGTTCAGCAAGTCTTAGTGGACAGTGGACAGTGTCTGGAGACACAAAAAATTCAGTGATTGGTTCTATAATAACCAAATAGGACATCCCAGGGCTTAGGATTCTACTCCCTGCTGGATTTGTTTTCTTCTGTCTCTTACATTCCAACTCTGCCTAGGCTCAGAGTGTACACCCTGGGATGTGGACTGCACTCCTGGACACAGGGAGTGACGTGCATACCATGTAACTGGATTCTTTTGCATAAAAGTGACTAGAACTTGGTTTGGAATCCTCTGTAGGAATTTCCACAGAAAGAACTTCGTAAAAACAGCAAACATACACAGGACTGTAGACTCTTCCTCCCCAAGTCCTACCACCCAACACAGCCTCCTGCCAGCATGTACTCTACTGTTAACTTCTCAGGGGCCATCTCCACACTAGACAAATATGACATGTTCCAGAACATACATGTGTCCAACAAACCACTCTGTTCACTCCTACAAGCTTCAGAGCTCATGCTTTGGCATCTTCTTTCCTTTCTCTCCCCTTTTCTCTCCTCCTTTCCCCTCTCTGTGGTACTGGGGATGGAACCCAGGGCCCTGTACATAAGAAGCACATGGTGTACCACACTGAGCTATGTCCCCAGCTCTTGTACTTTTCAAATTACTTTGTTATTGCCACCGTCAGACTGAAAATATAGATAATTTTTAAAAAAAATTATTTCCTTCTTGTCCTCCACCCTATTGCTGAGCTAGCTCTGCTGTACCAGATGGCTGTGTTTGGGAGTTAGCCAGAAGATGGGAACCACGGGAAAGAGAGTGCAGAACACCAGACCCTACAGGCCTCTGGCCTGGAGTCCCAGCTGGTTCTCTGCCAACTAGGCTGGCAGATACTCTGGTAGGGTGGAGCCCTACCCTTTTATTGCCTGCTACGCTTGTATGTGCAGGGTGCAAAAGATAGCTTCCCTGTCTTAGGGGAGTGGAGCTGGGACGGTGGTACCGGGCACAGGAACCTGGTGTTTTTGGAGTTAGGCTCAGCACTGTGGAACTGGATCCTGAATTCTGGAGTAATACTGAGATTCCCATGTGTGAAATGGCTCAGATGCCAGGAGAAACTCTGTTAGCCTAGGACCCTGTATATTTCAAGGGACAGTGGCTACAGGGATCTAAGGGACAGGTCAACTAGGTGATGGAGTAAACCAAAGCAGACTTACGGTCTTGCCACCTTTGCCAATCACACGGCCAGCTGTAGAAGAGGGCACTCTGATGTGGGCTTCCAGCTTCACCTCTTCTTTGGGGTTAAAGAAGTTTTCTTCTTTCAGTTTCCCAAAGATTCGTCCCTGGGCCTGAGAAAAATGTGACTGGTGACTGAGTCAGCAGATATTCATGCTGCTGTGGGAACTACAGAATCCAGTGATGGGACATGCTATGTCCCTGCCCCCACTCTGGCCAGACATGCGTGCCTCAGCCCTCACAGAACTGGTCCTTGTGCCTGCTACATTGGCCACTGTGCTGTGAAACCTGTGCCTCAGCATGCTCTGTCTTTGTGGGTTGCAGGTGACCCCTTCCTCTAGAAGTGTTGTGTTGTCACTGGGGGTACTGGCGAAGGGCCAGAACTGTATCTTATTTCCATATTCCTAGCACCTAATTATTATTTGGTTGATTGAATCTGTAAGGGCATTCTTTTTTTTTTTTTTTTTTTGTTGGACTGGGAAGCATATAATTCAGGGTGTTCTTAACTCCTTCCTGCCAGGCTATGTGCAATTATTAAAGAATGGAGAAGGATGAAGGTGAAGGTGGTGGTGATGGGATTTGATGAGTGTGAGCTTTTTTTTCTTTTGGTGCTGGGTATAGAACCTAAGCAGGTTAGGCAAGCGCTCTACTACTGAGCTACCATATTCCGCATTCCCTAGACCTTTAAATGCTTTTAAAATATTTTCTAGTTAGACATTTTATGTGGTGCTGAGGATTATCCTAGTACCTCACATGTGAGAGGTAAGCACTCTGCCACTGAGCCACAACCCCAGCCATAATTTTTTTTTTTTAAATATTGAGTCAGGGTTCTCCTAAGTTGCTGAGGCTGGCCTTGAAGCTGCAATTCCCTGCCTCAGCCTCCCAAGTAGCTGGGTTGCAGGCATGTGCTACCACACTTGGTTTGAGTTGCTGTTTGATGTCTTACTTCGAAGTTAAGGTAGCCAAGAAGCTAGAGTTTGCTTTATTTAACTTAAACAAAACAAAACAAACAAACAACAACAACAAAAAAAAACAAGACTAATTCACATAATCTAAAATTTATCATTTTTAAGTATACTTCAGTGGTCACTATGTTGTGTGACCACCACCACTATCTACCTAGCCATTTGCCTAAATTAAAACCCCTATCCCCATTTGCTGACAACCACTAATCTACTTTGTCTCTGAATTTGCTTACTCTTTGCATTTCATATAAATGGAACCATATCCCATGTGCCCTCATTTCTGCCTTCTTTCACTTGGCATGCTTTTTTCTAGGTTCATCCCTATTCACAGCATGTTTGGTACTAGTCCTTCCTTTTTAAGGCTGAATAATATTCTATTGTATGGATATAACACATTTTGTCTACTTGCAAGTTGAAGGGTTATTGGTTTTGAATGGTTCTCACATGTGTTAACTTTATCCTCTCAGTTAAATTTTAAGAATTTTAAAATTATAATAGGGTTATACTTTTATAAATTAAGATGTGTTTCTGGCTTTTAGAAAACCCATTTTTTTTAGAAAAAAAAGAAAAAAGAGGCAAAACCACACCACCACCACCACACACCTCACCAGAGAACTTTCAATATACCATGCCTTTCCCCCTGTGCCCATGTTAACGATCATAGTTTGAAGAATGGTGATGACCAAATGAGTCTGAGATAGTCATCCTCAAAACCATGGGTGAGGAATCAGACATGATGGAGGAGTTACCACCTGGATGGGGCTTCAACAGGTGACCTCTATTTCCTTGGAGAGAAGGGAAAGAGGGCTTTCTAGCAAAGGGAAATGTGCAGAGGGGACAGCTGGGAAGGGACAAAGAATGATTCTGAAACCCATGAGTAGCAGCTGGGAGTGAAACAGATGGCGAGCCTCCAAAGAAGAACCTGACCATGCCTCTGAGGTGGCTTCCCTGTGCCCACAGTCTGCAGGACACTGACCTTGAACTGCGCTTCTGGTGGTCCGGTGATGATGACCATCCTTTCACTGACATCTGGGCCTTCTGCTGGGGCGATCTGCAGGTCACAAGGGAAGAAGACAATGCTAATGTCAAACCCCTCCTGCCTGTCTGGGTGGAAGGCCTACACGCTAGTATTACGTAGCTCGACAGGGCTTCTGCCTCTGGACCTGCTACTTTGACGCCATGCTGCCTCACCCTGGGTCTTAGGAAGTTAAGGCCATAATGCTCACTATCAAGTTTGGGTATGTGGTCACCAAGGGAGAGTCTGAAGCAGGTGAACAGTTCCTGCCTGTCTCTGCCCTGTGCCCCAACAGTGACTGGCCGCCTTTCACCAAGCCACATCCTAGGAAATAACCAAGTCAATAACTCTAGGGATAGGGAGGTTTACAGTCCTGCCAACCCACCCAGGGCTTAGAGGGAAGGAACGGCTAGTCTGCTGAGGTGTTAAATTGGAATCCAGTTTGCAGGAATAGTCAGCCTGGTTCTAACTCCCAGCTCCATATATAGTTAGCTGTGACAATTGAGTTAGAACAGGTGTGGCTGGTACTGTCTCCTTCTGGCAAATCAATCATAAATACAACAGCACCAGATCAGGGACCAGGACACCTGGGTTCCAGTCCTGGCTCTGCAAACTCCTCCCCTCCCTCACCTGTGAAAGATGGATATAAGCTCAGACCTCCTCCAGACTCCCAAGGTTCTTTGTGGGTCTGAGCTCTTCTATAACACGAATAACGGACCCAGCAAGCATTTTTGTTAGAAGACCTTATTGCGTATATTCTTTCCCTCGCACATTATGCCTTCTTCCAAAAAGCTTTAAAGTAGTTTTAAAAAATAAAAAATTCAGCCAGGTTCAGTGGGCAGCTCCTGTGGTCCCAGCTACTCAGGAAGCTGAGGTAGGAGGATCGCTCCAGCCCAGGTGTTTCAGAGCCACCTGAGCCATGGGGCAAGATGCTGTCTCCAACCCCAAACAAACCAAGTAAAAAATTAAAAATTAGTAAATGATAGTAAAATTAATTAGAAAGGAAGCATGGTCCATTACAGGGTTTCGGTATTCCTAAGGTAAAGCAAAACCAGCGGCTCAGGGGAGGTACAATTTCTAAGATGAGCCTCTGTTTGGAAAGGGATGGGTTCACCATCAGTGCTGTGCTCTGCGTGCACCAGCTCTGCATGGGCCACCGAATCTGTCTCAGCCTCTCCCCAGGAAGGCCTCCACCCCCACAGTTGATTTTGTTTCTCTTAGTAAACACTCCAAGCCAGGCTCCTCCTGTGGACAGACCCACATTCAAATATGCTCTGATCCCACTCTGCTCTAGGAGGAGGGACACATTTGAATCTCTGGCCTTGATTACTTTGTATGAAAATGAATGTGACACATAGGTGACCGACACTGAGTTTCTCGGGGACTGCCTTTAACTGTGGACAGCCTTTTCTTTCTTGGCAGCGGCCTCGGCACATACACCAGACAGATCCAGGGGCAGGCCACACACAGGCTGGCCCTGGGACCCGAGGCAGGAAGCCCTGCCTCTACTTTGAGATCCACAGCTGGCATCAAATTGGGGTTTTATCTCAAAGGGTAAATGAGAGACCAGACCACAGCCACAGTGAGTCCCAGCTTCTACAGCACCCAAACTGAGAAGGGCCAAAGGCTGATTAGTGATTCATGCTGATCATCTGTTATGGGGTCGCAGTTTGCTTCTTAGTGACTCGTGGCTGCTTTGCTCAGGTTCTGAAACTCCTGACAACTTCCCAGCATTCACCAGCCCAGAACAGATATCTAGAAGCTGCATGTGTCCTTCAGCAGCGTCAGAATGGCATTCCATAGGCTCACTCCCTCTGGAGGGGCAGGAAGAAGGACTCTATCTTATGGCTGAAGGAGACAGACCTAGAGATGCAACATGACTGAGGGGTTGGAATGAGGATCAGTAATCAGTGTCCTTGGCTAACACTGTCACCAACATTTTCTGGGGCATTCAGAAGCTGATGGGATGCTCTGCAGGTAAGGCGGGTGAAAGGAGCTAAACTCCTGCCTGTAGCCAGGGCATCTCCAAATCTCAGCTCAGCCCACTCCCCTCCCAGCATTCTGCTCTCATGGATGAGAGTGGAGGTCTCTCCCTGCCCCGGCAGCATCAAAAGTGGCCCCTGTTGCAGCCTCTGAAGGGTATCTGTGGAGCTAGTGATACCATTCATCTCACTCTGGAGCTGGATGTGTTTAGAGACCTTCTAAGATAAAGGAAACTAGCAAAAATCAGATTTTTAAACTTCACAAATACTTGGCTTTCCTGGTTTTCTTTCCTTCTTTTTATGCTATGAAAAGAGGCAGGCCTGGGGGAAGGAGAAGGTTTTGACCCAGCATGTAAAACTGTCACCCAGTAGCCAGGCGTTTATTGTGCACGTCTGTAATCTCCACAACTAGGGAGCCTGAGGCAGAAAGATTGGGAGTCAGCAACTTAGTGAGACCCTGTCTCAAATAAAAAGGGATGGAGATGTAGCTCAGTGGTACAGGACCCCTGGGTTCAACCCCCAGTATAATATCACCCCCCCCCCCCGAAAAAAAATCCTAAACCAAAAATACTGTTGCCCATCCTGACCTCTTCCTAGTGCAGCCCTTCTGTCTTTAGCACTGAGTCCATGAGCAAAGTGACACACCACCACTCAACTCTGCTTGGACATAGGACTGTAAAAATGCTGTGAGGTAAAGTCCAAGGAACTGATATCTCTCTCTCTCTCTCTCCACACACACACACACTCTCTCTCATTATCCTAGAGGTCCTGCTGGGAATGATTCTGAAAGAGCAGTAAGGTTGCTGTCGGGGGAAGCACTGGACCAGGTATAGGATAACCTGAGCAAATCACATCCTTCATCTCTGTGGCCTTAGACAAGTCAGCAGAAATCTCTGGGCCTCATTCCTCATGTACAACAGTAAGTGGAGAGGTACTTCTGTGGCTGACCCCAGTGGGCACTCCGTATTCCAGAGGTCAGTGGGGTTTGTATCTAAGCTCCAGTCCTGCCACTTAGGTGCCTTGACAAGCTGCTCTACTGGCCCCTCTTCTCAGCTGAATAAAGGAGGGAGTTGAAGAGATGATCCCTCAAGTCCCTTTAGTTGAGACTCTCATTCCAACCTCTGCATGGCACCTCAGACCAAGCACTGAACACTGGGAAAAGCCCTCAGGGTGCAGCCGGCCACTCATTGCTCCTCTATATTTTCCCCATCCYACCCAACGGGGTAACCAGCCCCTGCCTGTCAGCACCTGGGCCAGGATCTCATATGACAAGTTGCTGGAGACAGGCTCCTGCGAACCCCACCTCAGGGGTCTCATTTAGTTTGGATATGGGTCTACAACTACAGGTGAGAAAAAAGAGGCTTGAGAGGGGAACCACTTTACTAAGATAAAATCCCTTCCTGGTCTCACTGCAATCCTTATCCTGCGCTGCCCAGAACGTTTGTTTTTGTTTTCTCTCCAGCACACTTGCTGTGGGAGAAAATCCAGCTCTTCTTGGGGAGAAAGTGTAAGCATTCTTTCTCTCCAAGTCATGAGACTTCTTGTTCGGAGTTCCGGGTTGTCTCATGGTAGCAAATTATTTTCCGTAACAACGGAAACTCTGTTTCCCAAAGTGTTTTCATGAGGCTTGGGACACGCTCAGCATTCTGCCCGTGAGTCAGAGCTGATAGCTGGGCTTGGAGCAGGACCAGGGTCGAATAATCCTTCCCTTTCAGCTTCTCTGATCACTCGGGCAGGCAGGATGTGGGTCTATAACGGCAGCCATGGCTGTGCTCACAACTGTTTCCATGGACTAAGAAGCTAAGGGGCTCTCTGCTCAGTCCCAGCTTCATATCAGGTCATGTCATCAGCTTTTGTTTATCTATGATTTTATCATTGCTTTTTTAAGAAGTTTTTTTTTTTTTCCATTCTAATTATTTTCTCATAGTTTAAAGGTCCTTGAAGTACAGACTAATAAAAGCACCAAGGCACTGATAGATGCTAAGCACTTATGTGTGCTGCCTTGAGTCTATTCCCTTAGCCTAGGAGCAACCTTCAACCTTTCTTGATCTTCTTGAGAGGAGAATGAAAATCCAAAAAGCATCGGGCTGGGTTGTATTAAGACATGTACTTTTTTTTTTTTTCTAATTCCACTAAGAGGAAAGATGGGAGCAGATGGGAACAGTCTTTGAAGCAAATTTTCCAGATCCTGTGGGATTCTGTAAGAGTTGCATGGAACTAGCACAAGGAGGGAGGGACATGGGGATAAGCAGCCTTACCTTGATGGAAGCTCCTGCAAATCGAGCCAGCTGTTTGATGTGTGCCCCTTTCTTCCCAATGATAGCACCCACAGCCTGGGTTGGGATGAAGAGATTCACAATCTCCTGCTCTGGATACTGGAAAGGCAAGAGAAGACAGAAGACATTCCAACAGGACACTCCCTCAGGCACTCAATAGTTACCAAGCACCTTCTGTGAGCCCCAAAGTGGGAAGGCCCTGCGGTCAAAAGAAAAGGCCAAAAGGACACACTAGGATCCTTGTGTGGCTCTGCAGCTGAGAATAGGACTGAACCCAGGCAGGATGACACTGAAGTCCATGTGCAAGCTCCTCCCGAGCATCTGAACTGGTTGTTTGTGAACGGCTGTCTGTTCACCTGGGTGAGTCTGATAGGTATTTCTTCTTTATCTTCACCCAAGAAATCAGAACAGTTATTAAAGGACAAGGTCCTGAGGCACTCTGTTAGGGGGCAATGAAAGCTGCCCAGACCGTTATGTAGCCAGGAGCAGCAATTTCACAAGGCAACTAAACCTTCCCCGACCAGGCTTCTTGGTGACTGCCCAGGAAAATAGGGAACTCATCCCTCCCGGGACCCTGAGGTAGAGAGAAGGCTCTTGGACAGGGTTGCCAGGGGTCCCTGATATAGGGATGTGAAGGAATGACAACCCCATTTGCTAGACTTTGGTCACAGATCTTTGAAGCCTTTCATTAGCACAACACTGCCTCTTAATTGACCTCTGGACTGCTCACTGGTGGCAGGGTGTATGTGGAGGCACCAGCAGAGCCAGGCAGGTTGGTATGCTTATGCTCTGACACATGGCACTCCCAGATGGCCCAGCACCACAGCAGACAGCTCTTGGCCAGTCAATCAGGGGCCATATGGGTCAGCTCTAGGCACAGAAAGGGTGGCAGCTGGGCAGAACTGAGGGGCACTTACAGAGTGATGATGCGGGAACGGGCTGAACTGGTGATGGGGGTACAGGCTGGAGAAGTATCCGGAGTGTGTCTGCAGCATGAAGGAAATAATCATTCGGTGATAGGGTCCCCAAGGGACAGCCATGTTACTCATGCATGCAAGATTTCTCCCATGCAACCCAGGCTCTCTACATTATCAGCCAACCTCACGGTCATGTCCACACACCTGTCCATTTGTATCTTGGATTTCTCCTCCAATTTCCCTCCTTGGACCACTTAATATTTTGGCAAGATATTGTCCGGTCAGAGTGGCCCTCTGGGCTGAATATTTATCATTTTTCTTTTAGATATTTTTTTTAGTTGTAGATGGACACAATACCTTTATTTTATTTACTTATTTTTATGTGATGCTGAGGATCGAATCCAGTTGCCTCATATGTGYGAGGCAAGTGCTCTACCACTGAGTCACAATCCCAGGCCCTAAATGTTTGTCATTTTTAAGCCAAGTCATGCTTTAGGTTTGGTAGGAACTTAGCATGGGACCATTCTCTCTCTGTCTCTGTCTCTCTCTCTCTCACACACACACATATGCAACCTGCCTTTTGGGTAGACAGACAGGGCCAGTGGCTTCTATTTTCTGGGGAATTATGAGTTGTGGATTACAAGGAACAGAGAGTACTGGGACAATATCCAAGAGTTATTCAAACAGAGCAAATGTGTTCCTGGGAAGACAGACTAGTTAGCCCCATCAGAGAATTTCAGAAGGAACTGAGAGATTGAGAGCAGAGAGACTGTGAAAGGGGAAGAAGAAAGTGAATGAACAAATATGTTGTACATGAACATGGGAAGAGGGACGCAGGGAAAAGGAAGGAAGATGTGGACAGAAGAAGATAGAGCTATTAGGAAAATCAAAGTTTTAAAAACAGTTGCTTGGGCTGGAGATGTGGCTCAAGCGGTAGCGCGCTCGCCTGGCATGCGTGCGGCCCGGGTTCGATCCTCAGCACCACATACCAACAAAGATGTTGTGTCCGCCGAGAACTAAAAAATAAATATTAAAAATTCAAAAAAAAAATAATAAAAAATAAAAACAGTTGCTTTTTAATTGAAAACCTACTATATACCTAGTACCATGATATATCTACTTATGAGGCCTCAATCTCCACAAAAGTCCTGTAAGACAATTACATGTCTGACTTTACATATTCTTTGGGCTGACCAAAGTCAGCAAAGTCTAGTCAACTATCCTCTATATAAGGCCAAGTAAACACTGGTTTTACCATACAATAAATGAGGTGACTACCTCTGGGCACCATGGCCCAGCTGCCCCGAACAACAGCCCCCCAGGAAGAAAGTTCCCATAATGTCAGACATGGATGGGAGCTAGGATTAGGGAACCTAGCTTCATTCGGGGGTCCCTGAGCAAATCTCATGGTGATGTGCATGTACTTACTCTCCTTAATTTCCATCTGGACTCAGCTCCCAATTACAACTTCACCTCATGACTCCTTAAAGACAAAATGAAACTTTTTTCTGATCCTCCTGCCTCAGCCTTCCAAGTATCTGGAGTTACAGGTGTGTGCCACCTATGATTAAAGGTGTCCTCCTTTGGAGCTCAGAGAGAGAAGGCAGAGATGCAGGCATCATGAGGTGCTGCTTCCAAGGTGCCAAGGTGCCAGCGGCACCTGCGACATCACGGCTCTTAACGCAAGCCTTGCTTTGACTTGAAAGAGGCTGCAGTGCTGCCTCCTGGCCACAAGAGAGTGCTACAAGACCAGCAGTCCAGGAAACCTTGTGCTCGGAAAGAAGATGGGTGAAGAAGTTTGCCGCTTTCTTGAGGATTCCCTGGGAAACACACAAGTTCCAGACCCTTCTCTGTGTAGGTTCTTGTCCAGGGAAAGAGTTCCTTCAGCTTTCTGCCCAAACAAAGCTCTATCTGGGGAAAGGGTGCTTCTGTCCTTCTCTCATCTACAGTGTTGTTTCTTCAGCTTTCATAGCAGAAATAATTATTTTGAATTGTAATCTGCTTTTTCCTCCCAAAACCTGTGTGAGGCCAATAGATGAGCCACAGAGTAGCTCCTATTCTGTGTTCAAATGCTTCTCTAACATAAACACTATCAAATTTAGACCTACCACTTGGGGGAAGGAAAGTTTTTTTGTTTTGTTTTGGTGTTTTTTTAATTAGCTGTAAAAGGATAAGAAGGACAAATTCCCTTTTATTTATGAGTCACAGCTGCAAGACTGTCATAAGGAAAGAATCCTGAGCTCAGCAATCAGGCGCTCATTTCTAGCTGAGGCTGACATTGGCCCCTGTGTACACAAGATGGTTTTTAGAGTCAGAAGTCCTGAGTCTGAATCACTAGTTCTACAAGTTGGGATGACTTATTAAACTTTTCTGAAGCTCATCCGTAAATCAATTACATTTTATTTTTTTCTAGTTCTGGTGACTGAACCAGGGTCTTGCATATGCTAAGTAAGTGCTTTACCACTGAGCTATATCTTCAGCCCAATTACAAATAATATTTAGAACCGGGCGCGGTGGCACACTCCTGTAATCCTAGTGGCTCAGGAGGCAGAGGCAGGAGGATTGTGGGTTCAGAGCCAGCCTCAGGAATTTAGTGAGGCACTAAGCAACTCAGTGAGACCCTATCAGCAAAATAGAATAGACAATATGATTRATGTATGTACATTCCATGTATGTATTATATATCAAAATGCATTCTACTGTCATGTATGACTAAAAATAAATAAATAACAATTAAAAAAAATTACAATATAGGGCTAGGGATGTGGCTCAGTGGTCATGTGCCCCTGAGTAAGTTCAATCCCTGGTAACCCCCAACCCCCGCAAAAAAATAAATAATATTTAGATTTCTGTATTATTGTGGGGGTTCATGCAACTGTTTATTCATTTACTCAAAAACGGAATAACTACAATGTAGGAGGCACAGTTCTAGGTGCTAGAGACACAGTTAAAACACAATTTTAACTGTGAATTATGTTCTACTGGGGAGGCAGACATAAAAGATACCTTCAGACAGAGAACAAAATGAGAACAGGCAGCTGGGGAGCTGAGGGTGGAATGGTGACTCTAGCTGTCTGGTGAATAAAGTTCTTGGAACTTTTTTGTAGATGAGATGGAGCCTTATGAAAAGTCCTGGAGAGGGAGCTGGGGGTGTGGCTCAGTGATAATTKCTTCCATAGTAGCTTGAGGTCCTGGATTTGATGCTCAACACACACATAAAAAAGTCCTGGGGCAGGAACTTACTGAGCAGGATTCTTAGAGTTCTAGAGCCAGGAGAGCAATAGCTTGTTTGAAAACCAGAAAGAAGTAGGTGAAAACAGGAGAATTCAGTAAGATGTGAGGGGGAGGCAGGCAACATGAGATCACTCAGGGCCTTGTGGACCTCATCTGGATATGGATTTGACCCCGAGTACAATGGATGCTCCCAAAGGGTGTTGCATGGCCTCCAAAGGGGCCATGGGAATGAAAGAATCTATTACCAGACATGCATGGGCTGCATTAACAAGTGTATTTGTCTATAATGAAATGCACATCTTCTCAGAGCCCACTTTCTATTTTCCATCTACCCAAGCCTATGCAGAATCTAGCCTCAAGTGAAAGGGGGGTTTTAAACATGCTTCCTTATGATGATCAGAAAGTCACCTGTCAACAACTTGAAGAAAGCAGGTTGCAGTCATCCAACATCTAGCCCAAGGCCTCCGTGGACTTGGCAGTAGATCAGGAATCTGACCCAGTGGTACAGCTGGACTCACTGTCTCAGTAATTGTATGTGAGAGAAACTATATTTTTGAGTGTGTATAGAGCAGGGAAAGGTGATGTTCTGGAGAAGGTGCCTGGCCCCGGTGTGCCCCACACCTGCCAACCAAGGGACAGTGGCAGGGGGTCATTATCAAGCTCATTTCAGGCTCTGTCTGCTTTTCCTCTGACTTTAACTATGTTGGGGTGGGGAGTGGGGTGGTGGGTAAAGTATGTATCAAACAAATTTATGAAATTCAAGGGAGTTATCACCTATTGGGCTTAGTTTCCTGGCAGAACTGCAGGGTCTAAGGTACAGGTTAGACCAGCTGATACATGATACAGGTGATACTCTGAAGCAAAGGAAATGAGGGGCAGGAAAAGTGAAGAGCTGGGGAAGGGACAGTGCAGAGGGCAAGGGCTTCTGCAAAGATGAGAGGTGTTCCACCTGGGAAAGAGAGACCGAGGCCTGGGGAAGGACTTGGCTAGAGGAGATGTCATGAACACGACGTTCCAAGATTGGGAGGGTGAACTTTCTATCCCCCAATGTCAAAGTGCTGTTCATGGTAGCTTTTATCCACCACTGTGTGTTCTCTTAAGACAACCTCAGAAACTGGTGGGATAACCAGAGAGTAGAAGCAAGATTTGAACACGGATCTCTGAGTCTGACTGTGGTCCAAGATCTTAGGCATTACACCCGACGCTGTGCACATCTAGAACATTCTGAACTCACTGGATCAGGTGGCGCTGGGGGAGCATGTTATGAAAGAGCTCCCCTATGTATTCATTAATATGCCCTCTGTTGAGTTTATTTAAACCTAAGAAGGGACAATTCTAATTCATTAGACATATATAGACAGCAGTGAATTAATGCAGGGAAGAGGGAGAGCTTTTTGATTTGATCCTAGTGAGACTCAAGATGCTAGCACTTTGGAAAATCATGAGCCCCCTGCCATGAGAGAAAAGACCAGTTGGAGAATTACAGTGATGGTTGGTTAAGTAGAAACTCAAGAGAGGACAGACACATAGAAAGTGTATGTTGTTGAAAGCCCATGCACACCTCAGAAGCTTAACCTGCACAAAACAAGAACAGAGAGCGGGGATCGGATGACAAGAAGAGTGAGGTTTACATAAAGTGGGAACTCCAGGAGGAGAAAACAGAGGGATGGAGAAAAAGTGATACTAAAGTTAATTACTGCAGAGAAGGAAAAGATTTTCCTGAGCCAAAGAAAAACTTGAATCTTCAGATCAGAATGCTCATATTCGGATTTCTGAATTCCAGAGGGAAAAGCAAAATACTATAAAAGGTTAGAACTTACAAGGGAAAAAGTTAT